AAAAAAAAAATCACACTGGGGACAGAATAAATTATACAGGACTCTAGGTGTTCACACTGCACTGCACTTTTTGTCTTGTATGTAAGTTAATCTGTTTTGGGGAAATAAGGGGAAGCACAGAAATGGTGGGACAAAGGGTAAGCAAAATGCAGCCACTGCATCACACTCACTAGAAACTGTGGAAAATGAACTATACAACTTGTGGGAAGGGATGTTGGGAGGGAAAAACTGGGAGAAAACGAGGGAAGAGGTGCACTGTTCAAAAAAAATGTATTCATTACTTGACTTATGTAACAGTAACCCCTCTGTACATCACCTTTACAATAACAATAAAAAATACTTTTAAAAAAGTTCTATCATTACATAAACAAAATTCATGATTAGACTACAGAGGTATAGTGGTAGGTGAGGGCAATTCGGGTAAGTTTTCTCAGAGATGTAACAGGCCCGTTCTGTCTTCCTGCTGGGAAGAATATTGCTGGAATATCATCACAGCACTTTCAGCTTATGACTCAGCCATCAAAACAAACAAAATCCAGCAGACTCCCATAGAATGGCACACTTAAAAAAAATCAGATTATTATGGTGATCCATCCACTAGAAACCAGTAACTAAATGTTTTTAGTTTTTTTTTTTTTTTCAGGGGTGAGGGGATGGAGTCAAGTGCCAAGAATGGACTCAAATTCATAATTCTCCTGCCTCAGCCTCCCAAGTTCTGGGGATAAGAGATAACAATACTGTGCTTGGCAAATGTACACTTGAAGAGTCTTCAATTTGCCTTGTATCCTTTAGCAATAAATCCTGTATATAATATCACTTTCTTCCTGGCAGAAATCAAGGAGCTCAAAGTCTAATTGAGTAAAACGCTGCATGAGCATAAACCATTATGCATATCTGTAATTGTAGTTGATCCTATTACTATTAGAACTAAAAAAAAAAAAAAGACTTGCTTTTACCAAAAAAAAAAAAAAGACAGTATACATAGTACTCAAGGAGGTTCCACTTCAATCTCAGAGTGCCTGCACAATTTATCTTCATATGTCACAACAAGGAGAAAGCACCAGCTCCTGCCTCAGAGAGGGCAATAGACTTTTCTGATGAAAGAAAGAGATCAAGAGGGCCTAAGGTTCTCCTCTTAGGATTCAGGTCATCAGGCATGATTGAATTTTAATACCTTGGCATTTAACAGCATGAAGAGTACATGGTCAGGAGTTGCCTGGGCTCGCCACTGCAAAATCTCCGCCAGGAACTGGTGCTAAAGTCACAAAGCAGAAAAAGACTTAGGCTCAGCAACTTTCAACAAATGTAGTGTATCCTTACACCAACTCTGGAATACTTACCTTCCTCACTAAGTCATTCTCTTCAATTTGCCCCAGGTCCCTTCCTGCAGCTTGTGCTATGCGTTTTCCAGCAACCAGATTCCCAACCATCACAGAAGCAGGACCTACACCTGTAAATAGAGGTAAAAATCCTCTTTAGAGATGGCAATTTAAGCTACATACTCCCAAAGCATTTCCAGACCATCCACATCTGGTTCAAATGTTTATTCAACAATGTTGACAAAGCACTCTTCCAGACACAGGACAAAGAGCTTGTATGCAAGTAGGAAAGGCAACATATGCACATGAACAAAAGTAGGCAGTGGGAGATGTTAGAAAAAAGACAAACAGAACCACAGAGAAATACAGGTTCAGTGGGCAAGAGGAAGAGGGGAGCTCTGGTAGTGTGGGTACACAGGGATATGTTCACTCCGAAGAGATGGCTGCAGTACTAATTCCAATAATCATTTTCTACAATCACAATCCAATCCAAAAAGAGCAGCAATAGATACTTGGTTCTGGAAATAAATCTGTCATTTATGAGTATTAGGAGAAATCATTTACTAAGTACATAACACAAACCAGATTGTGGAACAATCTACAAGACAACAGGCCTAGACTCTTCAAAAACATTCATGTCTCAGTGCTGGTGGCTCATGTATGTAATCCTAGCTACTAAGGAGGCTGAACTCTAAGGATCAAGGTTTGAAGCCAGCCTGGGAAGCCAAACTCGAGACCTTCTATCTCTAATTAATCAGCAAAATGCCAGAAGTAGAGCTATGCTTAAGTCGTAGAGCATCAGCCTTGAATGAAAAAGCCTAGTAAGAATAGGAGACTGAATTTAAGTCTCAGTACCAGCATAATCAATCAACCAATCACTCATGTCTTAAGACAAAATAAGGATGTAAATAAAGGCAGTCAAATGCAATGCATAACATATTGTACCAGATTTCTAAAAATCAGTTTTAATAAACAAGTAGACAAATTTAAGTGTTTATTATTATTAGATGATATATTATGGCTAAATTTCCTACCTTGGTTCTTTTTCTTTTTTTTTTTTTATGCTAGTCCTGGGGTTTGAACTCAGGGCCTGTCCCTGAGCTTTTGTGCTCAAGGCTAATGCTCTATCACTTAAGCCAAAACTCTATTTCTAGCATTTTTTTTTTTTTTTGGCAGTTAATTAGAGAGAAGAATTTCATGGTCTTTCCTGCCTGTGCTGGCCTTGAATTGAGATCCTCAAATCTTAGCCTCCTAAGTAGCCAGGATTACAGGTATGAGCCACCGGTGCTGGGCTCTATATTGTTTGAGTCAGGGTCTTGAGATGTAGGCTAAGTTGGCCCAGAACTCTTGATTCTCTGGGTTCAACTTCTGAGTGCTGGGATTATGGCTGTATACCTTAACAAGGTAATGGCATCATAGTTGTTTAGAAAATGAAACATTCTTGTTTTTTGGAAAAAACATGTGCTGAAATACTTATGGCTGAAGGGTCATGATACCTACATTCAGAGTTTAGTGAAAAAAATCACTGATTAGTGAATCTAGGGGAAGGTATATGGGTGCAAACTATACTATTCTATCAATCTTCCCATGGATTTGACACTTGAATGGGAGGACCATCGTTTGAGGCCAGCCCAGGCAGAAAAATTCACATTCCTTCTCAACTCATAGCCCAATGGCATAGGTGTATGCCTATCATCCTAGCTTCATGGCAGCTGAGATTAGAGGATTGTGATTCTAGGCCAGCCCTAGGCAGGAAAGTCTGCAAACTCTATCTCAGGAGTAGAAACTGGGCATAGCCTGGGTAGGAAGTAGGACTTTATCTCATAAATAGCCAATGCAAAAAAGGCTAGACATGGTTCAGTGGTAGAGTGGCTATCTAGCAAGCATAGGCTCTGAATTCATACCCAGCCTCTAGAGTAATAAGGATTACAGGCATGAGTCACCAGTGCCTGGCTCATACAATCCCTTTTAAAAGGTAAATAGCTAGGTGCAGGCACACCTGTAAACGTATACTTGGGGGGAACAAGCAGGAGGATATTGAGTTTTTTTTTGGGGGTCCGGTCGTGGGGCCTGAACTCTGGGCCTGGGCGCTGTCCCTCAGCTCTTCAGCTCAAGGCTAGCGCTCTACCACTTGAGCCACAGCGCCACTTCCGGCTTTTTTCTTTTTTGCTTATGTGGTGCTGAGGAATCGAACCCAGGGCCTCATGCATGCAAGGCAAGCACTCTACCACTGAGCTACCTTCCCAACCCCTCCTGTGTGTACTTCTTGAATCTATGGGTCAAATGGAAAACCTACGAGAGCAGTAGCCCCAGGAAGCTGACTGCAAACACTGCTGTACTGTAAATACCCCTGTTCGTCTTCCCCAAACTACTGTTTATCAACCTCCAGACCTAGTCTCCTTTCTTCCTTCAATAACACAAACTCAGTGTTTAGCTGGACACATGCCTGGAATAAAGACTGTATTTTTTAGTATAGGTGAATACTATGTAAAAATCAAATAATATGTGTAATTTCTAGAAAATACATTTAAAGGGAAAGACTTGCTGGAAGAATGACTCAGAACTTACGTCTCCAAGCCAGGCTGCCTAGCAGACCTAGTCGGCTATGGAGGTCTGTGGTAAACAGTTTTCTAAGAATTCTTCCTTTTCTTCCTGTGCTAGCTGAGGCCACATGGAGGAAGTGTATTTCTCTGTTCCACCAATTTGGAGCATGCTCTAATTTGTAGGCAATGAAATGTTAGGAGGTTGTGACAGGAACAGAAGCTTTAAAATATGCTTGCTGGTTTGGCTGGTCTCTCTGCCTCTGCCATCTGCTTTTGCAAAAAATGGTCCAGGTAGCTTACTGGACCCCCAGAGAGCAGATACATAGACCAGCTCTCATCCCACCCTGTAGCCTGGGCCAGTCAGGTCTATGAGTGAAAACCAAACACCTGTTATTTCCAGGCATTCAGTTCTAGGGTCACTTGTTATGTAGCACATCTTACTGGCCTTTACTTTTTCTGTATGTCCGGTCGTGGGGCCAGAACTCTGGGCCTGGAGCTGTCCCTCAGCTCTTCAGCTCAAGGCTAGTGCTCTACCACTTGAACCACAGCCCCACTTCTGGCCTTTTCTGTTTATGTGGTGCTGAGGAATCGAACCTTGGGCCTCATGCATGCAAGGCAAGCACTCTACCACTGAGCTACTTTCCCAGCCCTCCCAGTACAATTCTGATCCTTTTTTTTGGCCAGTACTGGGGCTTGAACTCAGAGCCTGGGCACTGTCCCTGAACTTCTTTTGCTCAAGGCTAGCACTCTACCACTTAAGCCACAACTCCACTTCTGGCTTTTTCTGTTTATGTGATACTGAGGAATTGAACCCAAGGCTTCATGAATGCTAGACAAGCACTCTACCACTAAGCCATATTCCCAGCCTCTTTTGATCCTCCTGACCCATACTTTATATTCAGGGGGAAAATGAGGCATGTTATAGAAAATTACTCAGAAGAGAGGCAGTGGCAAACCCAAGCAGCCTGTTGTGCAGGTTATTGATCCCTCTTCGTTTTGGTCAGCTTATACCATTCTTATTTTCTTAAGTTTTTGTAAATTCTAGACAGAATCTTGCTTGGAACCTTCAGTTTCTAGAAGTTATATTTTAATGTTATAGCTAAGCAGCTAGCATATTATTACCTGGTTGCTTCTGCCGGGGCTTTGGCAAGTTTGTCACACATGTATGTGGGCACATGAGGATATTGCAAGGATGGAGAGAACCCTCCAAAAACAGCTGCTTTGTTTGAGATATATGGATCCCTCCTAGTGGCGTTTTTGGCAATGTATTGGCAGGCACCAGAGCAAGACAATAAACCCCTACTTGATGGATGCTATCAATTGCCTAGAAAAAGAGAGAGAAAAATATTCAATGAAATTATGCTTACTACATTAGACATATGCCTGACATAATCCATTATTTTACTGTATGACTGATTTTCCAGAAATAAACATTGTATTAATGCCTAACATAATTACAAGTGTACAAAACCATTTTCTTTTCTTTAAATTTCACACTTAAAGTTTTTTTTTTTCTGTCGGTCATGGGGCTTGAACTCTGGGCCCGGGCACTGTCCCTCAGCTCTTCAGCTCAAGGCTAGCACTCTACCACTTGAGCCCCAGTGCCACTTCTGGCTTTTTTCTTTTTGCTTATGTGGTGCTGAGGAATCGAACCCAGGGCCTCATGTGTGCAAGGCAAGCACTCTACCACTGAGCCACCTTCCCAGCCCGAAGCAACACATTTTTATAACAAAAACAACAGAAACTCTCTGAATGGGCCCCCTCTTAGTAATTCACCTTATTACCATGTGTCCCCTTTACAAAACACCCAGGCAAGGCTTATGGGTACAATGAACACTGTAGGCCACCATACCCTTTGCTATATGCCCTGCCCGGCCACATCACTGTTTTCTTGCCTTTGTTTCTGCACTTTCATGACCATTGCTACTGGTTCACATACTTTAAGTATATATGACAAAGATGAATAAATATAAATGTAAAATGAATAAAAGAGTTAGGCTTTGGAAAGGCACATTAAAGGTAAGCTCTTGAAAATGACTGCTGATGGGCTGGGAAGTTGGCTCAGTGGTAGAGCACTTGCCTTGCATGCCTGAGGCCCTGGGTTCGATTCCTCAGCACCACATAAGCAAAAAGAAAAAAGCCAGAAGTGGCGCTGTGGCTCAAGTGGTAGAGCGCTAGCCTTGAGCTGAAGAGCTGAGGGACAGCGCCCAGGCCCAGAGTTCAGGCCCCACGACCGGACCCAAAAAAAAAAAAAAAAAGAAAATGACTGCTGATTGGTCTGAACAAGTTAATTCCAAAAGTAAAGGTTTCCCCCACCCCTCTCTCTTTTTGTCAGTACTGTCGGGCTTAAACTCAGGGCCTGTTCCTGTTCCTGAGCTTTTTCATGCAAGGCTAGTGCTCTACCACTTTGAGCCACAATGCCAATTCTGGCTTTTTAGTTATTAATTGGAGATAAGAATCTCACTAACTTTTCTGCCCAGGTAGGCTTTCAACTGGAATCCTCAGACCTCAGCCTCCTGAGTAGCTAGTATTACAGTCATGAGCCACCAACTCTCAGCTGTGAAGGTTTTCTTTAAATCACTTTTCTGATAACTGTGTTCTAGTTCTAACTTCAAGGACATAAATCCAGAAACCAAAGACAAAGCATCCAGGTACAATTTATGGAAATTTATCTGGAACCCAAATTGGGGTATTTGTATATACTACTCTACAGCCAATGTACACATATTATATGCTTTGGATTAAAATGTAATACTCAAAACTCCAAGGGCTGTGGTTCAAAGCCAGCCCAGGCAGGATAGTCCATGAGACTCTGATCTCCCAGTTAACTACCAAAAAGCAGAAGCAGAGCTGTGGCTCAAGTGGTAGAGTGCTAGTGCTGAATAAAAAGAGTTCAGGGACAGCACCCAGGCCCAGAGTTCAAGCCACATACATACATAAAATTTGAAGAAAATAAAGCCCAAGTTCTTTCCATCCTTTTAGCCTGGTCCTCACTAGGACATATCCCTTACGGTAAGTCTGAGTTATTCTCTTCTCCTCGTGGTTTACCTCATCCTGCATCTTCTCTAATAATGAAGCTCCTTTGGAGAAAGAAAACTGTCTTACATATTCTTGGAGCCCTTATATACAAGGCACCACTTTTGGCATGTACTAAGACTATATGTGACTAACTGCTGACAAGTGAATTGATTGCTGTCAGAGACATATTCTACACAGTTAAATCTTCCATGGGAAGGAAATACTGCAGCATAAATTGACCGAGGCAAGTCAGTTTAATGACTTTATTATCTAGTTTTGATAACAGTATGTAGATTAAGCAGTGATCAGCAAGAAAGAAAAATTAGGTAACATAACTGACCCATCACAGAAAGTGTTTACAAGCCGGGTATGGTATTCTATGCTTGTAATCCCAGCTACTCTGGAGGAAGGAGCAAGAGGATTTTGAATTTAAGACTGGTCTGAGAAAAACAAAACAAAATACAACACAGTAACAAAAACCAAGTGCTTAAGCAATGGTGGCAGCCACCTCTCACTGGACACAGACCCAAGTAAGCTTACCTGCAGCACCCGGCTCATCCACTGGAAGCTGTCCTCCTCAGAGGCATCGGGCCTTTGTTCCGCAACCACCACAATGCGCTCATCATAAAATACAGACACAGAAAACACAGCAATTCTAAGAAAGACAGATCATACACATCAGACTCTCTTCACAACCAGAGCTACTTCTCTGCTTAACTGGAATTATGGAGACACCGCCCACCACAGAACCCAGAAATGAGTAGTTTAGCAAAGAAATGTGCAACTATTATCATCAAAATCCAAATCGACTCATTTAAAATAGATGGATTTATTCAGGAGGCTGAGATCTGAGGATCAAGGTTTGAAACCAGACCAGGCAGGAAAGTCTGTGAGACTCTTATCTCCAATTAACCATCAAAAAGCCAAATGTGTAGCTGTGATTGAAGCAGCAGAATGCCAGCCTTGAGTGAAAAAACTCAGGGGTAGCACTCAGGCCTTAAGTTTAAGTTTCAGGACCAGCACAAAACAAAAAACAAACAAGAAAACATCCCACTGTCATGAACATCAGGGATTACATGTTAAGAGACAGAACCAACCAACATATGGATATGGCTGCGTGTTGTGCTGCGCAGCAGAAAGCACACTGGGACAGAGGGGTGGAGGGGTGAGTGGCTGGGGAGCGCCTCCCTGGGGAGTGGACACTGGAGCAGAGACCTGAATGAGGTGAGGACGCGAGCCACGCGAAGATCTGGAGGAAGAGGATTCCGGGCAGAAGGAACGGAAAGCGAAAAGGTTCTGAGGTAGGGACGAGCTTGGCAGGTTTGAGGAACAGCAAGAAGGCCAGTGTGCCTGGAGCAGAGTAGTGAAGCAGAGAGCGGGAGCGAGAGTCAGACACAGGCAAGGGTGGATCCGAGGCCCGGGAGGCTGGGGAGAGGGGAGGATGGAGGGGTTCTAAGTGAGGTCTCCGCTCAAATGTCCCCTTGCTAGTGAGGCATTCCCAGACCACCTGATAGATATACTAGCAAGCCCCCACCCCATGTATTGTTTCTGCCACATTGCCACTTCTCCCAGGTTCTCTACTTCTCTGTCTAACTGGTTCCTGTCTGGTGCCCACAATGACAGCGAAAGGGCAGAGATCAGGCATCTGCTATGCATTCCCAGAGTGAGGGCACCAAGGACAATGGCCCAGAGTTGGCACCCAATGAGTATTCATAGAATGAATGCATGAGAGGATAGGAAGCCACTGGAGAGCCAAATATGCCAGCTCGCCAGCCTGCATCCACTCACACACTTATGGAACATAGGCTATGTGCCAGGCGTTGCACTGAGAGTGGGGCCATCATTATGACTGAGACAGAAGTCCAGTGCTCCATGTGGAGTGTGCATCCACCATTATAAAAACACACAATTTGGGAGCTGGTTCTTTTTGGATTTAACTTCCTTCTTAAAAATAAACCTAAAGCAGGAGGCTGAGATCTGAGGATTGCGGTTCAAAAGCCAGCCCAGGCAGGAAAGTGTGTGAGACTCTTATCTCCAATATACCATCAGAAATCCAGAAGTGGCATTGTGGCTCAAGTGGCAGAGCTCTAGCCTTGAGCTGAAGAGCTCTGGGAGAGTCCCCAGGCCCAGAGTTCAAGCCCCACAACCAAAATACAAAAAAACCCTAAAGGGACACCAGAGTTGCTTTGTAAACTTCTGGAATGAATATCAATTGCTCAATATATAGCAGATATTTTTCTTGTATTAATAAGCAAAGGAAAAAAAAGGTGCCTGGCTTTGTCCACAGGATTTAAAATTATTAGCACTAGTGTGCTATGGCAAATTCCACTTTACGATGCTCCAATAATTGAGCTAGAAACAAGCAAAAAAATTCTTAGATATAATCTCCTACAGAGTATCTCGATTGGCCTGAATGCCACAACCTCTGGACTGAAGAAATATAGGATGTTCAATGTTTGTTTTAAAATCCTCCTCAATGAATAGTAACAATCCAAATCTAAAATACAGGATGTGGATATGTCTCATTCCTCTAAATTATAGACAAAGAACCAGACACTGTGAATTAAATATTGAAAGGTGGGTTTCTACTCTTTTCATCTAAACCAAACTAATCATTTGGAAAGAGAATCTACAAAGCACCATCAAATCACCCCACCAAGATCTACTTAGGTTTCGTGAGAAGGGCTAACATTCCAACCACTCACCTTCCTCTATACACTGTCTTTATAGACTCAACAGCCAAGCCAGTAGCAACAATGTCATCAGCATTATGTCTTCGACCACTAACCATGAGTAATCCATCCATTTTTCCAACCACAAACACCAAGCTACCCTGAAATGGTAACAATGATTTACTTTGAGTTTTTATGGTTTAAACAGAAGGAAGGAAGGAAGGAAGGAAGGAAGGAAGGAAG